TACCTACCTATGACCTACCATACAACCTAACCTACAACGTAAATCTACTTATACACCACATAGCTTTACTTGACTCAATGAGTGGTTGGGTGTAACTTATAAATGTTTTGTGTAAGAAGTACCTATCAAAGTATCTATGTGTGATCTCACTTTTTTATCTTAGAAGGATGTATGTATTCTTTCTGTTCATGATTTTGTTTTGTGAATTTCTTCAGTTTTGAAAGAGTGCAAAGGAGGGAAATAACCATAGTGGGCTATCTTATCATAGTAACTTGAATTTGTCATTGCTGCTTCTAGCAACCCAGACTGCAGTGCAAAGCATGGCAACAATGCACAAACTGTAACTGCTCTCAGCTCAGATGCCTCCACATCCTTCACCAGCACACAGTTCACACAAAGCAAGTGCAATTCACAAAATCCCACACTAAACCTGAAGTAAAATTATTTCTTCAGATTTTGAAAAGCTGCATTAAAGATGAGCCAGATCAATGCAACAATAAAATCATTATTATTACGTGGCTGACCAAGGCGTGTCTTGCATACATTATGGTCATTTTCATAACAGCAATGAACCATCAAATTAAAAGCAGTGCATGCAGCATGGCACTATGTTGGGCCCATACTGCTCCACCAAAAATGCACACACCACTGCAGTTAATATGCATTGCACCATACACTGGTGGGTGATACATAAGGCTATATTAAATGCCATATTTTGCAGTTTGCCAAGCGCAGACCATATCCACCAGCACTCATGATTCTCATACATCTCATACAAGCATCTATATTACGAGGGGCGTTCAAAAAGTTCTCGGCCCAACCATGAAGGAGTTGGAATTTCGGCCTGCAACGCGGTGTGTTCATTGATGTGTTATTGGGATGTCCACTTACGTAGCCATTAACCAATCTGCCCTGTGATTGGTTCAGGCTGCTAATTAATCGTAACATAGTTTTCTATTTCCGGTCAGAATGGGTGACGCCCAGAATAGAACAGTGATTTGGTTCATGTATTGCAGAAAAATGCATCAAACGTTATTCACGAAAAGCTAGTGCCAACACATGTTGAGGTTTGTCTTTCTTACAGTAGCGCCAAAAAGTGGGCATCTCTGTTCAATTTTGGTCAACAGATCATTAATGGTCACCCCCGCAGTGGCCAGCCATCAACAGCATTGACTCAAGAAAATATGAAAAATAAGCACTTCTTTGTGAAAAATGACAAATGTTCTGGTCTGAAACAACGCAGCAGAAGCGGAGTTGTCTATCAGGTTCCTCAAAGCCATTCTTCGACGGCCTATTAATATGTTTAAGATTTCTGCAAGATGCATCTCCCGTTTGCTGACTCCAGAGGAAAGGCAAACTCGAAAGGAGGCGTAACGCAAAATTTGTGGCCCCTATTTCGAAGATCCAAAAGAGTTCATTGAACTACTTGTTACCGTGGAGGGATTGTGGGTGTCACACATTGACCCTCAGGGCGTGACCGAATTGTACAAGTGGAAGCACACTGAGTAAAGGCCACCAAATGTGTGCGACGTGTTAAAGTCAGACGGCAAGGTGACAGTGGTTGCATTTTTGGATGATGGCGGGGCTCTGCTCGTCAACTTTCTAAAACAGGGGCGCACAATTAATGATGAATGCTACACCTTCCTTCGATAACAGTAGCGAGCAGCAGATATCAAGGAGAGACTAGGGAAGCTGACTAAAAGTGTGCGCCTGATCCAGGACCACGCACCAGCACACATGAGCAGGGTGACGATCAGCGAAGCAGTGAGCTGTGGCTTCGAGTTGTTGTCACAGCCACTTTTTTCTTCGTCCCTTGCACCCTCAGGCTGCCACCTCTTCCCCAACATAAGGAAATCGCTTAGCAGTGGCAACCTTGCTGACAGCAAGGAGACAAAAGCAGCCGTCTTGGACGTGCAGATGCGTCCAAAACCCACTTGGCTATGGAGACCCAGAGGCCTCTCGCGAAGCGCTGCACGAAATATTTTTGTCTTAACGCTGGTTATTTGACTAAATGAACATTTTTGGTCTAATAAGTCGACGTCGTATCTCTGCTCCTTCATGGTCGGGCCGAGAACTTTTTGAACGCCCCTCGTACTATTTGAGGAGGGTGCGTCTGTCCGTTACCGAGGTCCCGACTTGGTGGTGCTTTGCGTGGACTACAGGCCAGACCGTTGCACCTATCCCGGTGAAATTTGCACAACTTATAGATCAAGGATGCGCGACGTGCCTTTGAGGGGTCTCAGCTCGATCGGATTGGTAGGGAGTTACCAGGGGTCCGACCGGCACGGGGAAAACAGCATCGTGTACAGAATTGAACGGGCTATTGAATGATGTGCAATGCAGAGGATAGCACGCGCCACGTGCACCGGAGAGGGCACTTTTATTTGAAAAATTGCGGTTTTTGAGGGATTTTGGAATTAATTTTATTTTTAGGTGACCGTTAAAATGGAGCGAGTTGAATCAACGCCTATTTGCAAGAGAAAGGTACCGCATCTCATATAAAAATTGTGAAAAGCTGATTGATCCAAATCAAGGTGGTGCAAATCACAGGAGAAAATGGTCTTTGTCAATTTTGTGCCACTTTATTAATCACACGGGGTTTGCTGCATAACCTGATACCTTTGGCAATTGAATATATATGGTACCGTTGGAAAGAGCATTCAATTCTGTCCAAGGTTCAATCTTTGTTTTTGCATGATGAGCAACAAAAGTCTTAAAAATGTAAATGTTCCAAACCATAGCATTGTCCAGCGGCGTATTTAGAAAATCGCGAAGGGGGGGGCCAAGGGTTTGGAGGGCGCCACCTCACCCAAGGAGGGCGCCATACGGTCGCGAGATAAAAAATCGCTCAGTGGGGGTTGGGGGGTTGGGAGGCGTTTTTTACCATGCCACCAGTTTTTTTTTTGCGTAACCTCGTATAGGTCGTGCTGCATTGATTTTGCATCGTGTGTATTCATTATACTCCAGGTCACAAAAGGTCAAGTGTTCTTGAAATGCTGCGCCGAAGGCGCGCGAAATTTTTGAAAACAACCTTTTCCTCCGCTTTTTAGGCACGCCTTTTATACGATCACTGTTCAAAGCTCCTCTCGCTCTTTTACCAAATTTGAAGGTGTAAAAAATACCTAAGGTTTGGTCGGGCCGCTGCCACACAAACTGTACAGAAAGCTTGGCTCATGGGTGTCGATGTATAAAAGTTTATTGGCGGTGGCATATCTACGCACCAGATCACCGTATCGGATTGATACCGGAGCGCGAGATGCGTAAACATCATCCAAATTACCTCAGACCAGCCTTCATAGCCTTCTCACAGATGCATGCAGTGTACCCACATAACCAGTTTCAATCACCGAAACTTCAGATGCCTGCTGTTGCGCCCGAACCTGTTGACAATACTTAATCGTAATCCATATAGATGCCATGATGCACGTAAAGTAGGATCAATCCGTTAAGACCAAAGACGTGTTTTATGCATCGTAGAGCGTAGATAGTTTTGGTAGGTATAGATACTTCATTCATTGTGCTGAATGCACGTTCATTTGTGGCAGTTTTCACAGGCCAGACATCAACTATGTGCAATAGAACGACTAAGTTGAAAAACATGCCAAAGGAGTAAATAAATGATAGGAGGGCAGCGATCAACGGATGTTGCCAATAGGTAGAAGGGCTGCGATCCACAGGAGGGCACTAATAGGTAGAAGAGCCCCGATCAACATCCCGAGTTTCGACAGTAGGGCACCGATAGGTAGGAAGTTGGCGAGCAGCAGGAGGGCGCCAATGGATAGAAGGGCAGCGATCAACAGGAGGGCACCAATAGGTAGGAGGGCGCCGATCAACAATCAACAGGAGGGCGCCACCAGGTAAGAGGGTGGCGAGGAACAGGAGAGCACCAATAGGAGGGTGGCGATCAACAAGAGGTCGCCAATAGGTGGGAGGGCGGTCATCAACTGGAAGTCGCCAATGAGCGGAAGGGTGACGATTAAAATGGGGGTGGCAATGGTGAGGAGGGCGCCTTTGCTCAAGAGGATGACACGAACAGGAGGGCGTCTGTGCGGAGGGCGCTGGTCAACAGGAAGGTGCCAGTGGATAGGAGGGCGGTGATCAACAGGTTGGTGCCAGTGGTTAGGAGGGCGGCGATCTACACGAGGGCGCCAATAGGAGAAGGGCCCCGATTAACATTCAACAGGAAGGACTAGGGAACCAATAGGTAGGAGGGCGGCACTGAACAAGAGGGTGCCAAAAGGGAGAAAGGCGGCCTTCAAAATTTCACATGAGGGCTCAATAGGTAGGAGAGCGCCAATAATTATGAGGACGCCGATCAGCAGAAGGGCGGCAATGTGTAGCAGGGTGGCGACCTACAGGAGGGCGCCTTCGGGTGAGAGGGCGCTTATTTACAGGACAGCGGCTTACATAGGCGACCACCGTTACGCTTAGAGAGCTACAGCCTACAAATGTGGTTGGAGGGCGCCCGAGGGAGCCCTCCAACCGTATTTGGAGGGCGTATTTGGAATGGGCGTCCTCCGAGGGCGCCCTCCATCCGTATTTTCCCTGTAAACACATTCGCAATTGGAGGGCGCCCTCCAGTCGCGATTGTTTTTCGATTCGATTATATCACAATTGCATTTGCGATTGGAGGGCGCCTTCGGCGCCCTCCAATCGCAAAGGGCGCCTTCGGCGCCCAAGGGGGGGGCCATGGCCCAGTGGCCCCCCCCCCTGCCTACGCCCCTGGCATTGTCATTTTTAGCGAAATTCATCGATGGCCCTCAAAAGACTTTACGCCAGTTTACGAATGATTCTTAAGTAGAACGCATGATAATACGACACGGGCACCTCGATGCGATGTATCTTTTTTGTTTTATTACAAAATGCTTGGCCGCCAAAAAGCAATCGCACGAAATGGATACCAACCAAATCGACACAGACCAACCCAATACCCACGGTTAAAAAATAACCCTTCTTCGCGTTGCGGAGCACGCGGGTAACCCTAGTTGAGTGCCATAGCAGCTTGAACCAGGGATTTCAAATTTCACCACTGACCACTGGAAGTTTGGTCATGGTGCTCCATGTATAATCTGAGATACCATCCTACGATCTACATGCATGTAATATGAGACATGGGACAAAATTCACTCTCTGACAACCTAAAGCAATTGTTTGGGGGCGGGGGAGGAAAGACTACTGAAGTCTGAAGAGCTTTAGTGAATGGCCTCAGTGTGTAGCAGCCTGGCTGCCACGAACGTTGCCTGCCTTCTATTTGGATGGCTTAGTTAGTTCTTTTTTGTCACAGTTTAAAAGCAATAGGTAGTGGTGATTTTTATTTGAAATAGCGACCATTTTGCTATTCTCTCCCTCTCTGCAGTTGACGGGTTTGAGCGATGTTCGCGCGGCGGCTGGGCCTGCTGTCGGCCGCGCTGCCCCGGCGGCGCTGTCTGCACACGGCCTGCTCCCAGGCGCCGCTGGCCGGTGTCACCGTGGTGGACCTGACGCGTGTGCTGGCCGGCCCATTCTGCACCATGCTGCTGGCCGACCTGGGCGCTGACGTCATCAAGGTGGAGCTGCCCGGCCGCGGGGACGACACGCGCACCTGGGGACCGCCGTTCGTCGGCGACCAGAGCTGCTACTTCGTCTCCGTCAACCGCAGCAAGCGCAGCGTGGCCGTCAACCTGCGTACCGCAGAGGGCCAGAACATTGTCCGCCAGCTGGCGAAAAAGGCGGACGTCTTTGTCGAGAACTTCCTGCCGGGGAAGATGAAGGAGTTGGGGCTCGATTATCCCCGGCTGCGCGCGTTGAATGACACGCTGGTGTACTGTTCCATCTCGGGTTACGGCGAGGACGGTCCTTACGTCTCGCGGCCCGGCTACGACGTGATCGCTGCCTCGCTGGGAGGTCTACTGCACATCACCGGTGCCGAGGGCGGCGAGCCGAGCAAGGTGGGCGTGGCGATGACCGACCTGGCCACCGGCCTGTACGCCCACGGCGCCATCATGGCCGCGCTCCTGCAGCGCTACAAGGACGGCGAGGGCCAGCACGTGCGCTGCGACCTGCTCTCCTCGCAAGTGTCCTGTCTGGTCAACGTGGCCTCCAACTACCTGAACGGCGGCCAGGAGGCGCGTCGGCTCGGCACCGCCCACGAGAGCATCGTTCCCTACCAGATGTTCCATACGCGCGACGGCCGCATCACCCTGGGCGCCGGCAACGACGCCCAGTTCGCCGACCTGTGTGTGCGCCTGTCGCTGCCGCGCCTCCTCGAGGACGAGCGGTTCGCCACGAACGCGCTGCGTGTGGAGCACCGCGCCGAGTTGGTGCCAGTGCTGGAGGCGCGCCTCTCGGAGAGCACCACGGCAGAGTGGCTGGAGACGCTGGAGGGTGCCGGCTTCCCCTACGGCCCGGTCAACAACATGGAACAGGTGTTCAGCGACCCGCAGGTCAGTGACCGGGGGACAGAACCGGCCGAGGTCACACTGGGTATTTACCTCCCTTATAATGCGGTATCTCAGTCAACTAACTATCTTGACTTGTGGTATCATTCCGATCCCGTTTCATTTTGATTTCTGCCTTTCTCCCACTAGGACGAGGGATTATTTCACTGGGGTGTGAAAATAGTTTGCATGTGTATTACGTAATGATTGACCTTACTGCAGGAACACAAAAGAATCAGCGTACGTTTTTTGTAGACTGAATGCGCCCTTGTGGTGTGCGGGGCCTGATCGGCTGACCCGGAGCCTCCCTCTGCCAGGTGCTGCACAACGGTCTGGTGGAGGAGGTCGAACACCCGACAGCCGGCCGACTGCGGCTGGTCGGCCCGGCCGTCCGCTACAGTAAATCAGAGAACAAGGTGCGCTCCGCGCCGCCGCTGCTCGGTGAGCACACGGACGACGTACTGCGACAGTTCATGTCCCTCGACGACCGGCGGCTGGACGAGCTGCGCCAGCGGGGCGTCATCCAGTGACGAGCTGCGCCAGCGGGGCGTCATCCAGTGACGGTGAGCCGCACCCGGGCGTCATCCAGTGACGGTGAGCCGCCTCGCGGGCGTCATCCAGTGACGGTGAGCCGCACCCGGGCGTCATCCAGTGACGGTGAGCCTCGCGGGCGTCACCAGGGACGGTCCTGACATTCAGTCGCCGGGTGGAAAACTGTACCCGCCGGGGAGACCTCTCGCACGGAGAAGCTGGTTATACCGACAATGAGTGCAGGTTGTTATTTGTGATATGATCCAGTAGACGGTCTCGCCGGCTTAGTGGAGGACCGAGGGGATGCGCTGCTGGTCCGATTCCCTGCCAGGGGACGGTGGAAATTACGATGGTGCTACATTCGGTCCCGGTCGGTGCGGTGGTGTGGTGTGCTGTGTGCCTTCGTATGGCTTTATAAGCCTAGCTGATGTGTGAAATGTAATTGGATTTAAGAGCGGTAGCTTTAACTATCCAACTAGTGAGGAAACTCTGTAGTATAGGTCTCGGGTCCATAATGAACCGGGCTTGCTCGCATATTTTCATGCTAGCATCGCAACCACTTAAACGTAAAAAATGGACCCTAGTGTTACCATTTTCGCAACATAGCTGACTACTGATTGTTTGATTTTTCTTCCTGACTTAATTAAGGGTCTATGTATGCTATTGAAGTCAAAACTTTACATGGAGGATAAGCAATCGTCAGAAAAGAAAACTTTCACGTACGATAAGATTATCGTTGGCATAATTTGAAAATGTAAGTTGCATAACATGGATGCATGTTTCAACCATGTGTTAAAGATATTTTGTAGTTAGTATAAATGCCGTGCTAGTGAAACAGATCAGCTGTTGACTTTTTTATTGCTGTAGGTATTGAAGAAAATACACGTGATGGCACAAATTCACCACTGAGCTAACAGAAATGAGATGCTAAATGAGATACATTAAGCGAGGGTTAACCCTCGCATGTGTGCGGCGTTTGCCAGCTTCTAATGTGTAGGGGGGGGGTCGGTTGGACCACCCCCCCCCCTTGCCGTTTGGCCCCTGATCGAGCTAGAGCTTTGCGGAAAAAACGAGCGTATTGCCCGTGACGAGAGGAAGCCGATGATACCCAATTTTAAGGTCCTAGGTCATTGGGTGACCTTCCAGGTCAGGTCAATTTGACCCAAAGTCGGGAAAATCGGGACCTGTTAGAAAGTCGTAAAGTGTGGCTGTTAAGGGGTTTTCGGGGTGCTGATCACGAATATCGTGTTAGTTTTGATCACAGATGATGTCTTTAAGCATTTAGACCAGGTCGGGTCAGGTCAGGTCAGGTCAACCAGTAGGCATCGTGACGGGTATTCGTAGTACGTGTCAACCGCCTCTGACAGCTTCGTAACATAATACGAAGGCACCAAAACTACTTCGTAAATGTTCAAATGGTTGCTAAATTCGAATTCAGCTCCAAAAACTAGCCTAGAAACATGTACAGCTCGAAAAAGTGAACCGAGGTCACCCGAGGTCACCAAAGGTCAATGACCTGACCTGACCTTCAGGTGACCTTGACACCCACCCTAATGCATGGAAGCAACATCAAATCACATGTTTGAACGTTTGGAACCACGAAAAGCTTGCAAACGCGCGGCTAATGCGAGCCGACATACGCAGAATCGCGATTCCGGCCAAACATGGTCTCGGAAAAGAGGTCACAGGTCAAAGGTCATTTGGGTCAGGGTCATGAAATTTTCAGGGTAGGTGTAAAATTGATCAATGTGAGGGTACTGAAAGTTTCGTCGCGATCGGCCGCTTTTTACGCGAGTTATTCGCGAAAAACCATGGGGGGGGTCCATCCGACCCCCCCTCTACACATGCGAGGGTTAATGTAGTAAGTAGTTCATGAACATGTATGCGCGGGTATAGTCAGAGTATATAGATCACCGGTATAGTATCATTTCAGCTAAAATATATCACCAGTATAACGCCTTTTGGGGCGACTAACGGAGCGAGCGAGAGAGTGGGCCTTGCACGTGCGAAATTGCGAGGGGGTACCGGGTACCTCCAACTAACTTCTGCACGGCACCCTACTAACCGGTCTCTAGCGATTTGCCAAATTTGAGCACAATCGGCCCAGCCGTTATCGAGATCTGGAAGCGGCACCCTGCACGTGCGCACGTGCGAAATGGGTCCCAACTGACTTTTGCACGGCACCCTACTAACCGGTCCCTAACCGCGTACCAAATTTGAGCGCAATCGGTCCAGCCGTTCTCGAGATCTGGAATCGACCCCTGCACGTGCGCACGTGCAGCAGCACCCCAACTGTGGCACATGGATATGCATTGCCTAGTAGGTGCCTACCTTCATGCGAAGTTTCAGCGCAATCGGCCCAGTAGTTACCGAGATATTGCAACTATTACAAAACTGACACCTCTTCGTTTTGCACGTGGCACGTGCATAAGGGCCGGGGTCACCCACATGCATCGGGAAGAGTCCAATACTTGGAAGAAGGAATGAAGCTACCCTACAAAAATTACCGCATGTAAATCGGTCAAGTGGTTGCTGAGTATAAGCCTCGCAAAAGCGTCCGCACGGCCGGCCACTCATACTCAGAAATTTCTAAGAAATAAGAATCATCTAAGACTAAGAAAAGACTATCATACTATCAATACTAAGAAAAGACTACGCTTGCTTCGCTCGCTCCGTAACAAGTTCACGTTCGATACATTCCATTGAGTTATGTGACTGCTAGCTATAGGCGAAAACGGTTAACGGTTATGTGACCCTCCAAGGTCACAGAGGTCACCTGAGGTCACCATTTTCGTATTGGCTGATAAAATTACATACGGAGGTCAGAGATTTTGTTTTGTTTTGTTGGGTTAGGCCCTTTCGGTCGACAAGACCATTGCAGAGCCGGAAGGATGATAGGAATTAGGGGGAGACATTGGTCTGGGCAGGCACCCTAGTGAGTCGCCGGGGCTGAGCCCGTCCAGAGGACAGGCCACCCAGCCCCAAGGCACTCACTGCACCCGGCTACGGGGTGCGCTCCCTCAGGAGCAGCGGTGCCGCTCCAATGGAGCAGCCCGCATGAGATAAAGTTGCCTGTCCAGCCCGGAGGGGGGTTGCGGCTTGGAGGAGAAGGATTTCAGTATCCTGAAGGCTGAGGATAGAAGCACGGATAGGTGTCAGAGATCGACTGGTGGTGTTTTCGTCTCGATCGGCTGAGAACTACTGAGTCAGTAGCTCCTGAGTTATATGTAGAATAAACTGCAATAGGCGAAAACGGTAAGCTAACTTTTCGAGGTCACCGCAGATGTCTTCTTTCGCGATTGCTCCGTACCAGTATTTTCATTCGAGAAAGTTATTTTCCCGACGAAAATATGCTTTTCCCACAGGCCACAGGGCTTTTCCCATAGGTACGATTACATTGCAGGCGCTTGAGCCATTGTACCAATGACGTCACGGTAATCCCAACTCGGCAAAGGACAATACGATAAATCCTTGACGAATCTGCGACATTCATGGCGCGATTGGCGCGATATTTCAAATTGAATTTGTAAACGATTAATGATAAATATATCGGATAATACTTAGATAATAGCATTATAGAGTTCAGGTCAGTGGATAATACATAGTTACCGTGGATAATACAACCACTGCTGTGGGTGAAAACTGTATTAACTATTAAGGGTTTTCTTAAAAAACCATTGACATAAGCGACATTAGTTTCATAGAAATAATTGACTTATAATAAAAAAAATATGGGAAACACATTAGGTACAGTTGTAAGTGAACACCTGTCTGTTTTTCAGGTGGTGAATTGTGAAATGTGTTGGCTGTATGTTTTATTCACCTCATTTAGGACATGAATGGTGCATTCGGAAAGGCACATTCCATGTGGAATTTGTGGAATATTCCATGCGCGGAATATTCCCAAAGATTGGCCATTCAGAGAGATACGCCTCCGAACCGCGGCCCTGGGAATATTCCCGGGAACGATGAATATGCCATGCTCTCTGAGCACACCACAAGTAAACCATACAATGATTCTCAAGGCACTTGTTGGAGCTTGCGAAATTGTTTTGTTACAGTTTGAGCTTAAGTTGCATTTAACAGGCACTCCGCACTTGGCATGTCAATTCAATTATTCAAGTTTGTAAGTTGTCTAGGCACCTATTAAACTTAATTATTTTAATTACCTAAATGATAAATCTGGAGCTTTGTCACTTGTCAGGCATCAGTCAAAACAATATAGGACACTTTAGGACAGGACAGGTAGTTTCCTGGCTAGATAGTGGATTGTGTTAAATGCCACTTCCAGGCATAACACAAAGATATTGCTGATCCAGAACAGGTTGTTTTGCCTATATTGTCTGACTAAAGTAGGTTCCTACCTTTTGCCTTGCCGCTTGCGAGGTAGGTACGTAGGTACCTAGGCATGTATTGATGCTGTGGTTGCTGCTAGGCTAGGTAATACTGGGTAATACCATGTTAGGTTTGCTTCCAGTGGAGACCATCAATAGATTGAAATATCTCAATAACAGAGATACTGGATAAGCTCAGCAATTGAAGGTTAGATATTTGATGGGTTAAGTTTTCCCTATGAAACTTGATTGATTGGTACCTACTACCTACCCAGTCTAGTAGGAACCATGAAAAATGTTGTGTTTTTTAATTTAGTAATTAAGGACACCATCTGATTATCATGCTTATAATATTCATCTAGAAATACATTTCAACATTTCTGAGCAGTATTAGATTGGAGCACAACCAAACAGCAGGCCCAAGTCAGATGGGCTTTCAAAATACAAAGAATTGTGAGGCTGGGGACAGTGGCAGAAGCTGAAGCACCCTACAGTTTGCTTGCCAGTAATTGCTTATATGTGCAAGTTTCAGCCGTGTTGATGACCATGTTGACAAATAAATAACAATTTTGCTAAGAATGGAAAGGAGGAAATGTTAATGAGTAAGCAGGAACTAATGGCGCAATACAAAAGCAAGTTTAAAATCTCTGCAGGGTAATGCCAAACTGTCATCCTGTGTTGTTGCTTAGCCGAAATATTGGCTGACTGACATGCCATAGATACCTAGAATTTTGTTCACTCAAAGCGTGAAGAACTTGACACGCCCACCCACAAATACGCGTTGCAACCCTACTGACAAGTGGTGACTGGATCATTTTACCGCGATGCTGAAGTGCTGTTCCTTTGCTGATACACCATGAGAGGCCTGGTAATTTTTGTGCTCGCACCTGCGGCGCACATTTAACACCTTTGAAGTGCTTAAGGCTGCAGTATTTAATTTGGGATAGTTAAGTCGACAGGCATGGTACCTAGCACTATGAGCAGATACATGCTGCTTGATGATGCTGCAATAGTGAATGTGCTCGAGTTTGTGCGTTAAACATATTGAGAGCTTCGTTTTCCTTCTGGCAGACGGTGTCTAGTGAAGTTCAGTGGCCATGTCTTCCCCACGCCGAAGCCCGAGGGCCTCCAGCGGGAACCGACTGGCCTCCAAACGACAGAGGGTGGACGAGCTTCAGAAGCTCATCGCTGCTGAGCAAGGTATGTGTGGAGCGCCAGCGACACCGTGCTTAACCAGTAACACATCGCTGCACCAGCGACATAGCGCCGCACCAGCCCGACACCCCCGATTTTTTCCGAACATTTTTGAATTGTGATAATTTGAAGCGGGTTCCGTATTCTGTGGTCAACCCTACAGCCCGCAGATCGTTTGGTATCGTTACGCATTTTTATCGTACCTATGTTTTATGGGAGATAGCTTCATAAAGCAATTCGGCAGACTTCGGTCTCGAGCATATACTGTCGGTATGATCGGAGCTTTCTGCTAACCGACTAAGATTTACCCGTGCGGCAATGACTACTACCGTCTTGTCACCAATATTTATCACCAATGGGGGAGGGGGAAGGGGGGTAGACGGGTGTTAGAGCATTGCCTCTGCCTCATTTGGTGCGTCAGCCCTCACCGTGCGTTGTGTGTCTGTACTCCAGTCGCTGTCCAGGGCGCCAGCAGCAAGACCAGGGAGCTCAATGACGCCCGACGAATCTTGGAGGCGGCCAACCAGTACTCGCGTCTGACGACCGTGCTGGACGCGGTCACCGGTCTACCAGACGGGCAGTGAGTGCGGCGACCCGTGGGGGAGCTGGGACTGACCTGTGGACCTGTGACCTGTGGGGACTGAATCATGCACAGGCCTGTGCGACCTGTGGGCGGTCAGCGGCGACGCAAAGTGTTGACGGATAGACGAGAGATGCCTTCAGCATCCCCTAAACTCTTTAAAGATTGTGGCAATACTATAACGAACCTTCCGGACTTATCTTAATGACCTTTTTGGATGTCTGTTTTGAAAACTCACAACATGACATAGCATGTGTGCGTGTCGGTATCGTCTGCTGGATTATACGATAGTCGACTAGTTATTTGATTCAACCAACTCTTGGTGCAGATTGCTGCTCGTCGTGTCAATACTCCGTTGTGCCATGTTTCTTGCATAGGACGCGTGGCTATACCGTGGTGCGGGCGATTTTTGTGTCCGTGTTCGCTGTTGGATGGCGCGGGCATTAGCTGTCGGGGTGTTCGCTGTCCCTTTTGGACGGTGGCCGCAGTTCTGCGCCTCATTTTGCCATCCCTGACCGACCCGCAGAGGCGAACAACTGCTGACCGATCACGCCGACGCCGACCGGTCGCGCAAGAGTCGCCTGACGCAGCTGGAGGCCGAGCTGTCGGCGGCGCTGGAGCGTCAGCACCGGCTGCGGGCCCGGCTGGACCAGCTGCGCGCGCGGCTGCCGCCGGCCGACCAGGCGCGCCAGCAGCTGCGCCGTGCTCAGAACGACACGGCCGTTCAGAGGTGGGTCCGCCGGGGAGGAGCAGACGGGCGACACATCAGTGTTCGATCAGCGTAGGTTGTCCGGGGGGGAGGGGAGAGGATCAGGGATGACATACACCATATGCTCAGTATGCCGAGGTGTCATTTCCACTTCCTGGCCCGGTATCAGATTAAAAGTGCCTACGTAATGTCTGATAGATTCCAAGTAAACGTTCGTCTTTCGCAATCATTTTTTTATAGTCATAGTTTTATGGGAGCAGTGGAATCGGTTTGATCTAAAATACCTTACCTAGTCCGTGCTCGGTTTGGGTTCGGCCTCTTTCGCCGTGCCTATGGGATGGGATGTAAATGGTTTCACACAATTAACTAAAAAAAGTAGGAATAACGGAAAGATTGGGAGAAGGCAATGGATAGAACTTAACCAGTACATCCAAAAAGTATTGTCATTTTTCGCATACCTAGGTCAATACTGAACTGAGGTTACCCGTCACTGAATAATGAATATCACCAAATATTGAAGTTTTCCGCTTCCCACTTTGCTTTACTAATCTGCTAATACCTTGTGAACTAATCGACCTACAGCGTCGCAAAATCAGCGAAATGCCACACCTAACGCCTTTCAATGATCCGATAAGTCACACGCGGATGTGTCGCGCCGTGCGTTCAGAGACTACACGGAGCTGCTGCAGAGCTACGGCGACATCACCAACCTGTACAACATGCTGGAGAAGCTGATGGTGGTCTCCGACTACCCGTGGCTGGAGAGTGACGACTGGATGCAGCGGATCCGACCCGCGTACCACGCGCTGGCGCCGCCCTCACACGTGCTGCGCAATGACCTGGCCACCGACTCGGAGAGCAGTGCGGGCGGCGGCGGCGGCGGCGGCAGCGACGGCTCGTCGCCGCCCTGAGACACCGACGCGGGAGTCTGGGAGGACAGAGGGGATCCTGAGCGGGAGGACAGAGGGGGTTCCGAGCGGGAGGACAGAGGGGGTCTGGGCAGAGCGACAGAGGGCTGTTTGACGAAGGGACCAACGACAGCCCCCTCGCGGCATTGAGGAGCTGTCAGTCCGATAGGCAGGGGGCGCTGCGGTGCTAACAGCGAGACCGAGAGGCGAATGAAGTGAAGACGTCGCCGCCTGATGGATGGACTTTGACATTATCATCGGTAATGTGGAGGTGATTGTAGTTTTATTTTTGTGACTTGAATATATGTGCCACTCATAACATATATCTTTGACCGTTTAGAAACAGATAACAACATTAACTTTGGAGTAAACGGAATCGGTATACAATGCATAGACTGCATTGATGCATAGACTGCATTGATTCTTAGCGCTAGAAGTCGTTGAATAGTATAATGTGACAAGGTTCCATTGCAGACAGACGATGTGCTACAGCAGCGTATCGGTGTACACTGTACAGTGTTACGCTTACGTAGGAACAAATTCGTAGATGAGCTAAGTATTATATTGTAAAATCGCAATGATATTTTTTCGCTCTCATGTTGCATTTTCATGTAATGGCCCTCTGCTTCCACGTTCGCACTGTTGACAAACCAAAAGGCGTAGCAATGACCCAGTTATTTATTTCCAATGCGCCAGTAGTGACGAGGCATCGTTGATAGGGGCAGAGGCCAATAACCATTAGTGTTAAGTCGATTATTTTCTCCAAAATGATCACAGCAAGGATCACTGGTGGATGTTATTACTCATGCATAACAATTAGCTTGCTTTTAATGGAGATGCTACTGCGGATATCGTAGTGGAAGAAATATTGACTAAGAAAAGACCCGTATGCAGCGTTCTTCAGACATACTGATTGGGAGCACTTAATGCTGACCACTTTACAGACACCCTCAGGGACGATTAGCACTGGCTACTGAGCAGTGGTGGCCGGTCGGGGAGCGGGGTCCGACTCAGTCGGGGCCTCAGTCGCGGGACCCGAGCCTCCCGACGCCGGCCGGTCTGTGCGCGGCACCACCCGCACGCGCACGGGGTCAGCGGGCGTGCTCAGGAACGCAGTGGGCTCGAGGCGCAGCGGCGCCGGCGGCGTGGCCGGCGCCGTCTCCAGCCGACAGTCGCGCAGCACACACGCTAGCGCCACCTTGATCTCGAACAGGGCGAACCGCTGCGCGATGCAGTTGCGCGGCCCGCTGCCGAACGGGATGTACACGCACGGGTGGCGCTTCTCCTTCTCCTCCGGCAGGAAGCGGTCCGGGTCAAACCGCATTGGGTCCGGGAAGTAGTCCGGGTCGCGGTGCATGGTGATGACGGGCATGGCGACCAGCGTGCCGGCCGGCAGCGTCAGCTCGGTGCCGGGCACTCGGTAGTCGCGGGAGCACTCGCGCTCAATGCGCATGGACGGAGAGTAGAGACGCAGCGTCTCACTGATCACCCGGTCCAGGTAGCGCAGCTCCGAGACAGCCTCGTAGGTCAGCCGGCCGCCGTGGCGCGCCAGCACCTGGTCCAGCTCGTCACGCGCCGCCGCCTGCACGGCCGGCTCCGTGGCCAGCGCGTAGCAGGCGAACGTGATCACAGTGGCCGTCGTGTCGTAGCCAGCCACGTAGAAGAGCACACAGTTGGCCACGATGCTGTCGTTGGACAGCACGTGCTCGCCGTGCTGCTGGCGGGCCTCCAGCAGCAGATGCAGGTAGTCGCGTCTGCCGGCGTCTCCGGCTCCCTCCCGGTGCGCTATCGTGGTGAGTACTACGCGCCGGAAGAACTCACCGGCTGCTTCGCTGCGCTCTGGCAGCAGCTGTCCCAGCCAGTGGGGCAGCACCATCACCAAAGCCAGACGCAGTGAGTCGTACACACTCATCGGTCGGAAAAACACAGACGCGTGCTTGGCAAACTCTGTGTTCGGGTCCTTGAACGAGTTGCAGTTGACGCCGAACGCGCAGGACGCAATGTTGTCCATGGTGAAGCGACCCGCCGCCTCCTTCATCTCGACATCACCGTGCTGCCGCGTCGTCTCCTGCAGGTAGTTGCTCAGGTTGTCGGCGCTTTCGAGGCAGAGTTCGTGCATCGCCTTCAGCTTACTACTGGAAAAGGCCGGAGACATGATGGCTCTCACCTCCTTCCATTTCCGACCGCGCAGTGACGGCATCATGTCCTCCATACACTTGCTGATAACCAGGTCACGACGGTCCACGAAGTGGTCGAAGTCCTTGATGGTTATGGCTCGTATCAGGTCCGGATCGCCGACGTACAAGACGGGCCGCATCATTTCAATGAAGCCGCACATCTTCTTGCCGCCCTGTTCGTAGTAGAGCCACTGATCGAACTCGTAGAAACAGCGCGGGTTGGGGAAGTTGTGGCCGGAGAGGAACGTGGGCGGCGGTCCCGGCACGCCGCGCGACGTCCAGAACGCGTGGTCGCGCGTGATACGGCGGTAGGCGAGCGTCAGGAGGATGGCGATGACGGCCAGCGGCAGCGGCCGCAGCAGCCAGGAGAGCGGCCACCACACGACCGCCAGCAGGGTCTCCAGCATGGTGGCGGTCCCGGTCCTCGGATAGTCTTGGGCCTGCGCACGCTGCGGGGATAGTACTGGTGCCTTGTGACGTCCCACAACACTCCACCCCTCAGCAGCACAGCGGTGACTGCGGACACAGCGTCAGGGGGCGCGGCGCGCCGCTGGATGCCGTCCGTCCAAGGTCGATAAAGGTGCATATCAGCCACTTCACGGACTGGTAGAGCTGCCGTATTTGAGGCCGGAAACCCGCCGGTGGTATACACGAAATGACTTAACGCACCACAACTATGGCCGTATGGGTTTGCTGTTGGAAAGTAAGGATAATTGTGCCCAGCGCCACATTTTACATTGTTCTTAAAAAGTACTGAGTGACCGTGTATACTGTATAGCCGACTTTCCGACCTACTTGACCAAATCCAGACCTCGGCCTCGCAATGAATGTGAAGATACTATAAGGTATGTTGGTCTTTACGTCTCGTCACAGCCTAAAGACTGCTAAAAAACCGTTTCAAAATCACTTATGAGCCATACGACCTTGTCTAGGTTGCATGTGATCTCGTGAGAAGGCAGGAGCAGTGTGCCATGTGAGGTCACCTGGGATCACCAGATACCGACCGTTTCGAGGTCACTGAGGTCAGTAGTGTTACGCAATCACGTCACCTGAGGTCTTAGTGTACCGTGTCGAGGTCACCTGAGGACAGCATTATACCGTGCCGAGGTCACCTGAGGTGCTGCAGCAACGTAAATCTGTACTCACTACTCACCACTCAGTACGAGTCCCCTTTCTCTCTCCCCATCTCTCTCTCCGCGCTCTCTCTTCCTCTCTCTCTCCCTCTCTCTCTCTCTCTCTCTCTCTCTCTCACTCTCACTCTCACTCTCACTCTCTCTCTCTCTCTCTCTCTCTCTCTCTCTCTCTCTCTCTCTCTCTCTCTCTCTCTCTCTCTCTCTCTCTCTCTCTCTCTCTCTCTCTCTCTCTCTCACTCACCCTCTTCCCTTCCATCACCGGACAAATTGCGGACTGTGCAGCGAAGCCAATACCCGCCATGGCTAGAGAGTAGCTGTCTCAGGCACCTAATCTGGCAGCTCTACAGTCGATTCTGTCGTAGCGTGGTGCAACCCGCTGTGTGAATGACCACCTACGACTGATCGATGAGTGTTGACAGCACCGTGCATCAGTTGATGGGTCGATCGTACCACTTCCGGTCGGGGCAAATATTCGGTCCTATAATGCATTAGTAAGTTTGGTTTCGTAACAATCCTACTAGTCATGTGTTCGAGAAGAAGCGCTTCAAGACAACGTTTAGGTATATATCTTAGCTTCAAACTCAAATTCAGATTTCAGATTCATATTCGATAGTTCAAGACATTAGTGCAATAGACGATATGAAAGGTAACTTGCCTGCAATGTGAGTAACGCACTACCCAACAGCATGTTATTTATAGTTACCGTGCAGCATGTGACATTCATAAACGCTGCCGATCAGTTTTACGAATGGCGGTTACAGCTGGAATTGATACCGCCTCAAATGCCCAATTTTTCACAGGCACTCGGGCGGAACCGCGTGCAAAATGGGTGTAACGTTAGATAGGGTGCGATCGGCGTCGGGATGCGGTGATTGATGATGTTACTGGCGCTCTGCGCTGGCACCGGCCCTGCGTGCGCCGTGTGCTCGGCCCACCGGCATCCGGTGATGATCTAACGGCCGCTGGCGTCACCAGTTGTAGCGGCGGTAATTATAGCTGTGTTTGGTGCCGGGCGCCAATGTCACCCACACACAGTGGCTGGCACGGACCGCTCCTGGCTCTGGCTCAAACCGATCGGCCGCTGCCGGCCCCGCCCGCGGCCCGCCAGCACTACCAGCCCCCTCTCCCGCTCAGTCTCCGTCTGTCATCCCAGTCAGGCTCCTGATGGAATGTCTGTGTTCTTTTTCAGGCGTACTTTACTTTGCGTAAAATAGTCTCCAAGGCGGATAGTCTTTTACTTTGCGTAAAATAGTCTCTCTCTCTCTCTCTCTCTCTCTCTCTCTCTCTCTCTCTCTCTCTCTCTCTCTCTCTCTCTCTCTCTCTCTCTCTCTCTCTCTCTCTCTCTCTCTCTCTCTCTCTCTCTCTCTCTCTCCGACCTCTGCTTTCTCTTGTCTGTTTCTCTGTAGCGCAATAGCTACCTCAGGTGTGCAGTGTGCACTGTAATCTGTACTTTCGGTGACGGCGAGAAATTAACTGCCGTATCGATCCCGCCCACACCAGCTCTCCTTCTGTCGTCCGCCCCGCCGCCCGCATGACTCGTCAAATGCAACGTGTCCGACATGTGCTGACTGCTGAGCAGGTGCTGCTCTGCCACGTGTCTGTACCGGACTGGCTGAGATCGGCAGTCCGGAGCCCCATACCGTCTGTACCGACCTGTACCAGCTCCTCGCGTCTGTGGTACCGGTAGAGGGTAGCTCTGGGGGTTTAGTCTGGCTCTGTCAGCGCTGAGCGTTTATTATCTATCAGAACTGAGGGTTTATTGTCGATCAGGGCTGAGAGCTTAGACAGGTGCTTAGGATTTTACCCTGTTCAGCAACGAGATTTAGGAGCCTATTTGCTTGGTCTGCTGTGGGCGGTTTAGTATCAGGCGTCAGCCTGCCGCGCCGGTCGGAGTGCGAGGGGCTGCACTGCGTCGGCCGACCCCCAGCCCGGCACACACCTGGGATTCGGTGTGCAGCGGCGGTGACGCAGGTGCTGAGTGACTCGTCAGCCCAGGGTATCGTCAGTCTGCCCGGGTGCGGAGGACGTCCGCGGCACTGCGGCGCAGCTCCTGAACCAGGTAACAGCACAACAGGCCGGGAGCCATCGAAAACGGTGACCGATTCGCACCTCACCGGTGCCGAGAGTTGTGCGGTGTTTTTATTCCATCATCCATTCGGGCTAATTTTATGCCTGCCGTCCGGTTGGCGTGCGAGAAATTGGTGCAGTGCAGACATGGGCTTGTACATATTTTGTCGCACCGTGCGCAGCGCACGCGCATCCCCACTGTCTTCTTTATTTAAAAACGTTGTGTGCCGTCAAATTTCACCCATACCTGATTACGTCATGTCAATTAACTTCACCTGAGTTTCTTCCGAATCTTACAAATGTCCGTGTATCGCTGACCACCCTCGCCACGCTGCTTGGTTTTTGAGATCTCCCAGGCACGGGTACTTGGCCCCGTCCATTCTAAATTGTCTAAGTCGGTGTATTTATAAACGGGCAATTTTCTATAAATTTGTTTGGAAGGATCGTCAAAATCATGAATTAATGCATAACAGTTTCACCATTCATGATCGAATGTATGGGCAGAGCTGTTCTAACGGCGCATTTCAGTTTTGGGATGCCTATCATTTGTTCCTTTCATAGATGACCTTCTTTACCAAAGGTCAAGGCATACCTACGAGACAAATACTTACCGCAGCCCTGTTCGCGTGCTCCCGAGTACCGAGGGTTAAATTCGCCGGTTGCCAATCTTGTCATTTCTTGCTAGGTAAGGTACCTACACATCTTCACAGTGGAACCGCTTGAACCTCGGTACCCTGATGAAAAATTAACAGTTTCGTCACGTGCTTTGATATATTTTAGCAAATCCAAAATGATAAATTGCCTCCACAGATTCTCATCCAAGGCCATTTCTCATCTGGCTTCTTCCCTCGTGTTCGCTCTCTTCGTGCTTTTAGGGCCCGGTTTGTTCTATCTGAACCGATGGAGACTCACTAGCATTTATTTAAATAACATCATTTTAGTTTTGGTTGGTTAAACCGTTTTCCTCTTTTCTTTATAGTGTAATCTCTTGTGCTTTTTCATTGCAAGATACGCAATAGTTACAAAGTACCTTACAGCACAATATCTGAATTTCAGTCCAGATTCACGCCCCGCTGAAAGGGAAGTGGTGTTGCGTTTCAGCCCGCGGAGGCCGTTTTCAGTTTGCGCGGTCGCCTGATGGCCTCTGACGGCTTCCTGGCTGCCGTGGTGCGCTGGTGGACGCCGTTGGCTCTGCTCGCTGCATTGGCGCCACCGACGGTAACCCTTTCCGGTTCGAGGCACCATTTAAACTGGCGGCGCCGGATGCCGACAGCCATCAGCTGACACCGGACGGCGGCGTCCTGGGCCCAGCCCCGGCCCCGGCGGCCAGCGACCTGACCAGATCACCACTGGCTCTGCTCTATCGACCGGTGAGTGGGATATTATTTTATGTTGTATGGTCGCTTGATTGTGTAAAACAGGCGTCGGATTTATGGTTGAACTTGCTTTGGGGTCTGTTTTGGCCGAGTCCTTCGATTTTTGTGAGTCCCTCACATGTTTCCGTGCGCCACGATACCTACCCGATACCGAGAAGATTCTTTGGAAACCATCCAATAAATACATAGGAGAAAGATCGATGTTAGTTCAATTAGGTCAGCTCGCGGTGACGCCACTAAGTCAGCCGTTCTTCTATAACTTTTACCTACTGCAGTACCTGACGTTTACTGTATGGAAAATAGTCGTTCGAACGTAAAAGCCGAACATACCTATAAACAAAATAAAAACGACTTGACTGATGTTCTCATATTAACATCACTTTATCGAATAGGCGCCAAACTGCAAATGTGTGTATTGTTTTTACGATTATTGTGTAAGTTTGTTGGAAACAACATTTGGGCGCCGACTGACGCTCGTTTACAAATGTAAAGGCCTGGCTACACTATGCGTTTTCTGCGTGCGTTTTTTGCGAGATTGCGTGATTTGCGGAATATCGTTCTAGAAAGAAACCACATTACGTTTTCGTTATATGTTTTTCATATAAACTTTTAATTAACATAATCGTTTTATTAACTTTTATATAAATATTAAAGAAGTTAAATTAATAATAACCTTTTTTCTAGAACGATATTACGCAAAACACGCAAACTCGCAAAAAACGCACGCAGAAAACGCATAGTGTAGCCAGGCCTTAACTCTGTCAGGGGTGAGGAGTTCGCGGCGGGCCGGTTGGCCAGCTCGTGCTGGGTGCTGGGCGGGTTGGGTGGCCTGCGCTGCTGGGCGCGCGCGCTGGGCGGTTCAGGCGGCCTGCCGTGCTGGGCGCGGGTTGGCAGGGCAGCCGGCTCGGCTGACGGTCGGCGCTCCCGGTCTGCCGCAGCACCTGTTACCGCCTCGGCGAAGGGCGCGGCCCGGAGCTCGCGAGTACGGCCACTGCGCCGGCCACCTCACCTGTCTGGCCAAGTACGCGGCGGCGCTGGTCGTCTTCACGGCACTAGTGGTGTTCCGCTGAGGGCATACTGCGCCACGCCTGCGCATCAACTGGAGGGGCCGATACCCAGGGAAATGGGCACGTGTGTCAGTTACAGCCATCGAAGAGGGCCGACGTCTTCCTGAGTCATTGTTGGATAAAAAGGCATTTAACTTTTAACATTGATGTCACCATCTTTCATTCGACATTCCAGCTACATACCGATCCTAGGATCAAAATGTCAAACGGTAAAAACAATGCACTCGACCAGTCCAATTTTGATCGCTTCATTTATTATGTTACCCGTGTTGCATTTGTCTTTTTCGTTCAATACATTTTTGGTTGGTGGATCAAATACGTTTCTATTGAAATCAGCAACAGTGTTTACTAATAATCGTACGGAATTTGGAAGACACATGCGAATAAAGATAATGGTTCGAATACAAATAACCCCACCTATACGATAAAGATACACTGTAGGCGCACCTGACACCTCTGGCCCCGAGTGATGACCAGACATGGTACGCCACTGACCAGTACACACTGTATCCGCGTCTGGGTGTGGTCCGGCTGCTTCTGACGGAATTTTTAGCGCCGGTTTTTCCTGCCGCGAGTCAAGGCTACCAACACAACTCTAAACAGGTCTCTGTTTATGCTTACGGCGTAAACAAGAATTCATTGCTTCCGTTTAGCGCCGAACAAGCACGGCTCTCGAGCCATCGATCACGCGCTGTTTATTTAAGACGTTTCCTGTGTTTCGGCGAGTTGGCACAGCACAGCGCGCTGAATTCATCAGACGAGGCTCATGACGCTGATTGAGTACCCACGCCAGGTGACTACCTGTCAAAGTCCATTGCCCGGTGATGTCACAAAACCATCGTAACTGCTAGCGAATCGGTATATTATTTCATAAAAGCGATACGCTTAGGAATGTTAGCAAAGCTTTTGAGTTTTTCAGTATAAAGCTCCGTTATCGGGCTTTTGTAGGAAGCAGTGTCCAGCTATCAGCGGCGTAATCTTGTGTCTTGGCGCAGCGCTGTCCGTACTTCTGCGACCGTAGGCTGACTCCGCAATCCGCATTGCGCCGCCCGTTTCCCTGAAGCGCAGACCGTCTCCGCACGGCGCCGTACGCCTTCGTGCGATGCCCTCAGCCGCTACTCCTCGCCGGGTTTCGGCCCTAGCCACGGTCCCTTCCATTCCGGGTGGTGGTAGGTCTGCAATGGTGGCAGCGGCTCATATACGAGTGGTGGTGATGGCATGTGGGAGTGTACGCTGTTTATCTCAATCCTTTTAAACACACTTCAGCCCCGACCTCCCTCTGGGTGCTCCTGGCGAGCAAACTGAAAATAACTGTTGGATGCACTAGTCAGGGGAAATAGCTGTTTGCTTACCTTATACCTAACCTTGTGCTTACCTGCCTGCCGAGAGCGTATATGGCGTTTGTTACGGCCGGGATGTCCTTTTTCTCAAAGAGGTCCGGCGTTTGGAACAGGTCGAGGTCCGGGACACCGTACTTCTTTATAGCCTGCTGCACACTGCCGACGGATAGCGCACAAATATCGCTTGAGGATAATGAGGTGCGTTCCGGTATCATCATAAAAGGTATTTCGTACCACTCTAAAAACTTCTTTATAGCTCATTTCAAGGAGTTATATTATCAACATTAAAACCATATGTATGAACGTCTGTATATTTGTGAATGTCAAAGTTGCACACCGGGCTGCCGTTTGACCAAAGTGTGGGGCGTAGGGTGTGTAGGTATTTGTTGGGATGGACCGAAATGTGTAAATTCAAAGTGTTCACGCGGCGTAACACTGCAGTTGAAATGCGAAAAAAGTCAATGTTGACGTTTGTTTGTTTTACAAGTCACTTACTTATTGATGTTTTCCACAAACTTGAAGGCAGCTCCGGAGGTGTTGATTTTCTTGATGGCGCCGGGGCTGAGTTTGTTCATCAGCCGACAGAGTACTTGTCCGTCACTGAGGAGAACGCGTCAAGACGGGCGGTCCGGTCAAACACACACGCACACGTACTCCCTCCGCCCCCCCCCCCCCCCACACACACGCGCGCACTGCCGGCCCGCCAACTACCGTCACCGACAGCGGCCGCTCGTTCCAAGGTTGTAACTACAGACGGTCCGAGCCGGTGGAATAACGTCTCACATATGTATGGACTTATCTGCCTCCCAGTTTGTTTTTTAGATTACCTACAGAAATCTATATACAGAAATCTAAAAAATATACTAAAATATATACACAGAAATCTAGATCTTATATTTTTGTTTTAGCCTGCTGGAAAAGTTCCTAAACAAGAAGTCGCAGTTTACATCCAGTTCCACAACCCGACATGTGAGCCGATATCAAGCTAAAATCGTAGCATATACATTCGGATAGCATATACATATACATACAAGATGGGATAACATGGGATAACACGGGATGGGTTCCAATTGGCTTAACACGGGAATTTTCAAAGTCACGTGGCACGTGCACCAGATTGTCCGCGGAGGGGAGAGTCGGAGACCCATCCAGAACGTAGATCACCTGGCCCACTAGAAATCCTGAAAAAAATCAGAATTTTTGGAACAGGATTTTTGGTACAGGATACGCGTAATTTACCGTGATGTGATCATGTGTTTGATGGCAAAATTTTATGCGTGCTATTTTTACCGGGGCTTGGAACTGTAGGTAAATCTATTTAGATGGCCGGCTCCGGACAAAACGTGCCACCTCTAGCTACATTACCGGATCTACATAGTGTACATTTTACCAGTGACTCATCATCCCTGATTCGACCCCTATATGATGTGTCATTTCGTATTCCGTACCGTAGCACGGCCCCGTACTCGGCGTCAGAGGGCCACGTCTCGCCCGTGACTGCCTCGATCCAGCGCTGTATCTCCAGCTCCAGGGCCGGGTCGCGATGACCGGCCTTCTGTGGGCACCGGACAGACACGGAGAGAGGTGTCAGCGCTCTGCTGAGGGCCTTATCAAACGCAAGGGGAACACCAATAAATGTGCGATAAGCATGCAAGAAAACGTGGTCAGTCATCCGCGAGCCCATTCTCGCCGCACCCGCCGCTCTCTGATGACCAAGTTTCGCCATCTCTCCGCAAGATGGCAGCAGCCTCTACCCCGTGCACGTATACTGTGCCGCAACACACACGCGTACGGCGGAACACGACCCCCGGCCGTCTGCGCTTCCGAACGTGCCGGGCGTCGGATGACAACTCTCGGATTGCAGGGTTGTGCTGATTTGGACCAGCATGGACATTTGAAGAGAGCGCTGGGGGTCGGCTCAGATCACTGTATAGCAGAAATCTTCGTTGACCCGAAAGCCGGGATGAAAACCATTATTTTTGTATGCCGGAACTGGAGGGCTTAGCCTCCCACACATACTCTCTCTCTCTCTCTCTCTCTCTCTCTCTCTCTCTCTCTCTCTCTCTCTCTCTCTCTCTCTCTCTCTCTCTCTCTCTCTCTCTCTCTCTCTCTCTCTCCTTCCCTCCCTCTCTCCGCCTTCCTCCCTACGCTGTTGATCTCTCCCGCTCTCGCATGGTGCACCTGTCGCCGTCACCGCCGGCCCGTCACTGGCCGGCGGCCCCTGACAAATGGCCGCCTCCTTTGGTCGGCGCCCCCATCACAGTGTATCTGTCATCTGTGAGAGGGAGCGCGGCCCACCCGCACCTGGCGCCGTCTGTCAGATCCGCCCCGGCGGCGCACTGTCAGATCCGTCCCGGCGGCGCCCTCGGACAACACCTTCACACCAACGCACACAACTATGCGTTGGTGCGTAGCTTTTTTTTGCCTACCTGAGTACTCACTGCTTGAGACCGAGATTTAGGGTAAAATAACTATCGACATTGAGGCTGAAGTGGCCACTACAAAGCCCATGTGCGGAGCCGAGTGCTGTTCCTGCCCGGCGTTACTATTTTTACATGTCTATTTGTGCTTGTCGATTAGTTACATACGTATGTCTGTCTATCTGTCTGTTTTGCCGTCGGTTCATCAGTACGTCCGCCTGTCTGTCTGTTTGTGTGTGTGGTTAGGTTCCAGCTGGACACAGACGGACGCCATGCTGAAACGACACCTGTAGTGACTCCGTCTGTCCGGCATGTCGCCGGCAGCTGTGGCAAAGCGGAATGCTGCGCTGCTGTCTCCAGCTGCACGAATGACGGTAGGTTTTATACTTCGAAAATAATCTTCGAGCTTTCAGAATACCGGGTTATTGTCTGATGTTCTCTCTCTCCCTCCCTCCCTCCTCCCTCCCTCCCTCCCCTCCCTCCCTCCCCCCCCCTCTCTCTCTCTCTCTCTCTCTCTATCTATCTATCTATCTCTTTCTCTCTCTCTCTCTCTCTCTCTCTCTCTCTCTCTCTCTCTCTCTCTCTCTCTCTCTCTCTCTCTCTCTCTCTCTCTCTCTCTCTCTCTCTCTCTCTCTCTCTCCTGACGGCCCTCGGACTGCAGAGTGGCCCCTGTTCCCTCACCTGATCGGGCACAGACGATGATGTCAGCTCCGTAATTAGTGCCGTGCGAGTGGGCGGGCCGACATTTGGCTCTGCGCCGCCGATCATTCTGGCAGTTACATGCATTTTTTCATGCATGAATTTCTGATCTGGATGTTGGATCCTGATCTAGGTGATTTTATCACACGACCTGATAATGATGGCAGATGGATAGCTCCCTGTTCTTGGCCAGTGGCTATATTGATTGTTGAGCCCTCTGCCAAAATAATGCTCCATTAACGTCCGCCTCTGATAACATCTGACGAGACAGGAACATTTGTCTTGCTTGTCGATAATAGATCTGAGAAGTCGGCCTTTATGATCATCTGCCTCATTGTAGTCGCCAACATCATGCATTTTTGTCGCATTAATGGGCGGTTAAAGGATGCCGAGATCACCAGAACCCAGCGATACCTACTGCGGTAAGCTAACAAAACACAGTCGTGGGACGTATGGAAGCAGATGTGGGTACCCTCGTTCCAATGCCAGCTGATCGCTCAGCTGTACTGGACCTCTTTCAAATATTCTTCGCATTGCGCCTTCAGAACAGCAGCAATCGCAACAAGCGTCCGCAGAATGCGAAGCTCATTAATTACGGCATTTTTTGTGTTGTAGGCAACTGTTAAAATTAAGTTGTACACAAGTATAGCCTTGACAAACGATATAACGTTGATGTTTATTATCTTAACGTGCGGTGGGGCCTAAAGAAGCCTAGCATATTTTGTCACGCTGTAACGTGGTCGGATGTCACTCTGACCGTTTGAATTCTTTATGAGAGTCACTACTCGCCAAGCCTGCCAGCCGATTTGCTGAGGCCGACGCAGGTAAACTACTGACACGACGGAAGAACCGCTGTCGTGAGGCTCCTTTGGCCTGGAGTCGCCGGAAGCGAGAGGCCACAGCTGTCGCTCCGGTCTCTCGTAAAGAGGCTGAACAGCAGGCGGTCCGGGCGGCGCCGGCGCGACGCCCGCTCCAAACTGCGTCACTGGGCCCGTCTAAACAGGCGCGCTGGCACCGGCCGCCCGCACCCTTGGCTCCTCGTATTTATAGCGGCCACCTTCTGGTGAGTTCAGCGCGAGTCGGCTCCGCGAGAGGACGTGTCCCGCGCCGGTCCGCCAGCCCGCCCCGAGCCGACACCATGGTGGTACGTCCGCGTCTTCCTCCGTGTGCCCGCTCGTATGTGTGCTCACAGGGAAAGGGAACTGGCGTGTGAGTCAGTGACGCTGGCGCCGGTATCTGTCTTCGATGAGCTCCGCTAGCCAGGTGCCCTAGGAGGCTGCTATGCTACCCCGTGAAAACGGTATGGTACCAAGGGGTTGGTCTGTATCCCTGAGAGCCAAGTCTGGTCTTAGAGGGACATGTCAATTGCCTCGAAAGACAGACATATTCCCTACGAGAACGGTCTGCGCCCCTTAAAGAACAAATATGCTCTCAGAGAGGCATGTCGGTTTCCAAGGAGGTATAATATACGATACTATGCGAAACAGACACGTTCCCCTTGAGTACAGACGATTTGCTCTGCTGAGACAACCCCCAGCCCCGAGAGTACGACCTGTTTCACTGTTAGGGTAGCTCTGTCACTTGGCGACCCTCGCTGACAAGCCCGTCCCCCTCTGACCTAACACACCCTCCCACCAGCGCCGTGACCCCGCCCAGGAGAAAGAGGTACTCGAATGGATCGAGGCCGTGACCGGACAGAAGCTCCCACCAGGCCGCTATGAAGACGTTCTCCGAGACGGCATCGCCATCTGCAACCTGATGAACAAGCTGTCGCCAGGCTCCGTCTCCAAAATTCAGACCAGCGGAGGCTCCTTCAAGCTGCGCGAAAATATTGAGAGGTGAGACGGAGGCGGGATGGAGACGGGATGGAGACAGGACGGAGACGGGACGGAGACGGGACGGAGACGGGACGGAGACGGGATGGTGACGGTTCAAAGACGGGACAGATACTGGAAGAAAATAGGGCGGAGGCAGGATGGAGACGGGACGCGGGAAGGAGACTGAACGGAAACGACTTGCAGACTGAACGGAGATGGGACGAAGACGGGACGGAAATGGGACGCGGAACGGAGACGAGACACGGGACGGAGACGGGACGGAGACAGGATGGAGGTGGGATAGAGAAGGGAACGAGATTGAGGCGACAGATGGAACAAAGATTGAACGGCAACGAGACATATAGTCGACTACAGAATGATGTTCCACTCCTCAGAAGCTATCAGTTGACCGGACGCTAAGTTGTGCCGTTTATCACGCAATTAAGCCGTCGATTGTGAGCATTGGGACAAAGCTATAATTTGTGAACTCAGCCCGTGTGATGCGGCACAGCCTACCACTCCAGGCAAATAATTATTGCCTGTGAAAAATGGAACATCATTTTGTAGTCTAAGTCGACTATACATAGATGGAACGGGGAACGTGACGGAAGCTGGACGGACAGACGGGACAGAAGCGGGACACAGAGACTTCACTGAGAGCGAAGACGGACAGAGAGACGGGGAGAAGGACGGGGCAGAGACGTGACTGTCTGGCAAACGGCCGAGCCACGACGATGAACAAATATTTACAGGGCAGTTTGGTAGCGGCATCATGTTCTGGCGCGGTACCAAATGTTTGCCGTAAACATGGATCACCTCTCATCACCTGTCAGAAATGAGCCCTCTCGTGATGACGCCAAGCCGCGGCATTCTCCGCGTTGCCCCTGACATTCCCCACTCGCGGTTATGGTCGCGCTCGGAATCTGGCACGACGCGGCGCGCGCTGATAACCCCGTCCGGTCCCAGGTTCCAGAAGGCGGCCAAGGCGTATGGCGTCCCGGAGGAGGAGATTTTCCAGACGGCTGATCTATACGACATGAGGAACATCCCTCAGGTGACGCTGTCGCTGTACGCGCTCGCCCGCCTGGTGAGTCCACCTGCCGTAAACGGGCGCCGTCGGCCGCCCAGTCCCCTTCGGCGCAACGCTCGGGGTGAAACTGAACCATTTCCCTCTCGTTATTCAATGTCACGCGCGCGGTTTTTTTTTCTCCGGACGGGTCCACCTCAGTGTGTCTCAGCTTTCTCCGCTACTGCCAGCCTGGGTTTTAGAGTCTAGCGGCCCCGGTTGGCCCCTCCACTATCTTTATCCGGTATTGGTCGCTTCTAGCCAGAACGGTGGGTGCCAATAGAGCCGGGGCTGGGCCGGGACTCGCCGGCCGCTGTCAGCGGCGGCGCCCCAACAAAAACATGACGGGCGTCGTCACCTGCTTTGAAACGCTGGTTGACAAATGAGCTTCTGAGTTCTGGCCGGCGCCGGGCGGCGCGCACGCAAAGCAGCGCTGCACTCCGCGGTCGAAGGGTGGGCACAGGTGCGCGGGGAGGGACAGCCCGCGAGAGGGGAACTGCTGAGAGGGGGTAGCCCGCGGGCGTGCGGGTGTGGCCCGATGGGTGAGGGCTGCATGTACGTGCTAGAGGGACTTAAAATGATATCATAAATGGTTCGTTTCCGGGACTGCTAGCACGGAGTAATGAGAAAAGGATATGTTGCTCATGTTCCTTCGTTTCGCGATAATAATGTGTGTTACTGACGTTAAATCGATTTAGCGTCCAGCAGCTATCGGACCGGTGACGCCTTTGCCCTGCCGTCCCACAGACCCAGAAGCATCCCGAGTACAACGGACCCTCGCTGGGACCCAAAATGGCGGACGCCAACAAGCGAGAATTCTCCGAGTCGCAGCTGCGCGCCCACGAGGGCCAGCTCAACCTGCAGATGGGCTACAACAAGGGCGCCTCGCAGGCCGGCCACGGCGGCATGGGCAACACGCGGCACATGTGAGCGCGGCCGGTGAACGGGCGGGCGGGCGACGGGAGCCCGGTGGGCGGCGCTGGCCGTGGGGCGGCCCAGTGACTGTGCTGGCAAGAGAGTGGCACACCGGGGCAAATTATGGACCCGGTGGACCGCGGGCGAATGGAGCATCGTGCAGAAGCCAGCAATGGATCTACTGGGGCGGTTACTACACGCTCCAGAACTCTCTTCACACTTTATGCGCACCTTTCAGCCGGGTGTATCGTGATGCGTGTGGATCGGCCTGGTGCCAATTTGACTGGTGTCTGAGCGGTATGGCGTTACCTTGTTATGCGGCCCCTCGTTGAGTTTGGACTCGCCGCGCTTTGCTCTGTTTCAAACGCACACAGCGTATGAATGTAGAGACTGGATGATTTTTACGCTTTGCTGCTGCTGCTGAATGATTATCGTTAGAGTAACTCTTGTGATGCGTTACAATAGTTCCTTGTTTGACTATTTGTTAGCCAATGCTTTTTTCGTATGCGAATGGTGATGTTACGGATAATCCACTACACTACTGATTTCAGGTGTTTCTATGAGCGCTGTTGGCGACGAGTGTTTGTTAATATAACAAGTTACATTGTGAGTTGGGTGTGTTGAACATTGTAACACATCTAAAGGAAAGTAACAGCTTGTTAACCATTCGAGCCACAAGATGAAAAGCACCGGATAGTTCAATCGAGAACGTGCCCTCGGATTTACCCTCCTGGCGTCAACGGTTTGCCTACAGTTGAAACCATTTAAATTTCATGTTCGGTTAAAGTGATTTTTCCTGCAAGTAATTTAAACGCAGATAATCTACCAACTACCTTGATCTAGACAGGTCACATTAAAACTTAACGATCTCATTTCAGCCGAATCGCATTGTTAGGCCAAACATATTCAATGTGTTTCCATCGCTTCAGCGTGTTCCTACCTATCTAGTATCTATCAAATGTAATGATAGACAAACTGATCTTTTATGGTTCAACATGACCTTGCAGGGCTAAGCATACGGTGGGATATAGAGTGCAATATTTAATTCAGTATTCAATGGAGACGTATTTATCTTTAAGTATAAACGTTAAGTACATATGACTCTCGGTAAAAAAAAACGCGCATTGAATTTTTCGCATCGACTAGAATATCGGGGTCGCCAAATTTACATTCAGGTAGGTGCGGGGGCCGTCGGGAGGGAGTTCACCCTGCGTACCTCAGCAGCGAATTCGCTCGGGCGCTCTGGAAATGTGCTCGCTCAGTCGGGGTCGCAGAGGTTATGGTCGGCCGCCGGGAGGGGTGTTGGCTGGGAGCCAATCAGAGGCCGGTTTCCACTCCGCCTCCGCAGCCTGGCCCCGGCCCGGCCCTCCCACACTATATTCGCTAGGCCCAACACGCTTGGATTGGTTAGTTGCCCTGTCATACCCTGCCCAGTATCCTCAGTACCTATATCGCGGTCAAACGCTGTCACGATCGCTTTCCTTTCGCCGTGCCATTGTCCCGTCCTACTCTTTCCTACCGCGTCGTCTCAGTTGACCTGCTCTGCCCTGTTCCGTCGCCCAGTCGACCGGCCCCGCCCTGTTGGTCCTGGCACAGGGTCAGCCATGAATTAGCCCCTGATCTGTTCCTGTTGGCCGCTGGTGCACCGTCTCTACCCCCCCCCCCCCCCCGGCCCCCGTGCTCGCTCCACTGGCCACCCAGCACGAGGTCCCTCCCCCCTACTCTCAGGTGGTCTGGCGCGATACGCTCTACCATTGTGTTATGACACACAAAACGCCGCTACCTCGCCCCCTCCCCCCCATCCCGATCCCGTTTCGGTACAGCCCCCCAGCCAACCTTCCCCGGCAGGGTGGTGACTTTCTATCATTTGCGGCGCCACGTGTCTCCATCTGCCGGAGTAAACTAAGCGGCTAGAAATGCATAGTTACTGTACCGAATGAAATCGTTTCTCTTGGCACGAAATTTGTCATTATTGTCGTATCAAGAAGCAATCCAGGTTTGCAAAAGTAGGTATAGGTACAACATGTAAATGTTACGGGTCATATGCTAACTTGGGCAGTATGCAAACTACCCGGGCAGTATGCAAACTACCCAACAGCCCGGGCAGTATGCATACCGCCCGGGTAGTATGCATACTACCCGACCCCTTGGGCAGTATGCATACCGCCCGGGCAGTTTGCATACTGCCCGGGTAGTATGCATACTACCCACCTTTTCTCTCACGGGCAAGATGTTTACTCGGGCAATATGCTGACCGTGGCCCGTGAGACCACTTAATGCAATAGCTCACATATACATGTCAATGACAGACGCTTTAACCCGCGTCGGGGCGGTGCTCGGCGCCAGTCGTGCCGGGCTGGGGGGGGGGGGTGAACACCCTGTTCGACTCCCGTGCCACTTAGCGGAACAGAAGTAAGCGGCATGTAAGATGCGGTAACCGGCATTCGAAATAGCGTCAAAGATCATGACGAAAGTGCCCTAGTCATTTTTAAGGTCAGGTCAAAGGAAAAGGCAACAGAGGCTATCAAAGATCAAAGTTCGTCTTTTCATTTTTTTTTTTTTATAAATTCGCCCATAACTCGGAAGATAGTAGAGCTACAGCGCCGCAGAAAGACGCATTCGATAGCTCTTTTAGCGCTTTCTGGAATAAATACCCGAAGCTGATCTAAGTTCAAAATTTGACCTGAGGTCAAGGTCATGACCTGACATGAAAAGGTCATGTTGTTTATCAGCCACTCCTTATCGTCGAACTGAACACATCTAAGGTTGTTTCCATGACCATCGCTCCAACCCCAGCCAGCAAATCGGAGCTTTCCCCGTACGGGGAAGGCCTATGGCGAGCTTGGGGCAGGCTCGGGGAAACCCCAACCGTTCTCTTGGGGAAAACGGAGCGTTCGCTTGGGATTTGAGACACTTTGTACGGGGAACTTTGTGCGGGATTCGTACGGGGGAAACGGTATAACTGCCCAAGCGTTCCCCAAACGTCCCCCAGGTTACCCCCGCGCCGACTATGGTTAAAACCCGTTGTTAAGGTCGGTTCCCCGTACGGGGTTATCGAACATTTTCCCCAAGAAGATCCTGTGCGAGCCCCGCACATTCCCCCACCCGGCTATACGGGTTTATACTTACTGGAGACCTTCCCCGATCGGGGAAACCGTGATTTTCCCCTAACGTTCCCAGACCTTTTCCCCGCGCGAGCCCCAGCCGTTCCCCGACTTGGCAATGGCCCTACTGCCTTGTCTGCTTTTTTCCCCGTACGGAGAAGCCAGTAAAAACCGCACTGGGAAACAAATCGGGTCCCATCAAAATTGACAATGACTATTTATTTTGTCTGTAAACATACAAATATTTGTATAAACATACTTGTTTACATACAAACAAAATTGTCCACTTGTTTCCCCGCAATAGGGAAACGATAAAACCACACAGGAAAATAATTAGAACCAATCCATTTGGCCATGCCTGTTTATTTCCAGACTTTCAGGACGCTTCAACGACTAGATCAAAACACAACAGTCGGCCAAGCATGGTATGTGTCTGTACCACCACAGCCTATACTATTTTTATGTGGAGTCCTTCATTTGATGAAAGGTTAACATGCTTGATAATTGATATACTCGTTAGAAATCAAGACAAACACTAAAAAAGTTATTATTCACTTAAAATACATTGTGAACGCTTAGCAGGTGGCAAACATTACAGCAGCAGCGCAGCAGTGACAAACAACAGGTGACGAACACGAGCACTGGTAACCGGTCTAACCCCAGTTCTAACACGTCGAACCCCAGTTGATCCTCTGCAGTAGGAGTCTGTTCAGCAGATTGAGAACGACGGCTTTTCTGTAGTCTCCCTACAGCTGGTCCGGCCTTCCGTTCAGTAGTGCCCTGGATCCACAACTCGAGTCTTCCTTCTGGCTGTTTCAGACACATCTCAGCGGTCAGCTGCCGCTGAGAGCCACCTTGCTATGATCCATGTCCCAGCGCATCTCCAAGAATTCTGCGGCTGTGGACAAAAACAAAAATATGTGCACTTGTAGGTATATCAATCAGGTTTTACAGCTAGCTACTACATGAAATGTCCTTTTATGGAAACTTCAGCTTACGCTGAAATATGTTGAATGCCATTTTATGAAATTACACTTATCTATAACTTTTTTCCACGAAAAGTGCTTAAAAAATGAATGTGATAAACTTTGAATAGTTAATTAAAACAGGAAATAAAAATTCAATAATTAAATTTGTACTTCTAAACATTTCTCATTCCAGGAAAGTCATTAGGTAATAAATGTTTTACGTCTATATTACGCCTTACGAAGTTCCTCGTGAAAGCACTTGACAGATAAATGGACGCCGTTTGACAATTAAAATCAGTTGCTAGTTTATCAAGATAACAATGAAGTCCCTTTCACAAACAGAGCTGTCTAGTAGAGCTGCTGAAACAGACTCTTTCCGAAGACAAAAAAAAAAAAATGGAATGCGAAAGCCTATTCAAATACATGTATTTATTACAATCGTGTCAATCGTTCGCACATCCCTGTAAGGGATCGTGATTTCATGTATTTAATTAATGGGCTCTCGCATGAGATTTTCTGGCTGTAGAAAGAGTGTGTCTCAGCCTTTAGACTTGGGTGAAGGACAGGTTGTTTAACAGCTCTAAGCTAACCCCCACCCCCATAAACTGCTTACCAGCTTCGCCTGGAAGTCGCTCTTCGGTTGCTCATGCGAGCAATTACGCATTAACTCCACGCCGGGTTTATACTGCTGTTGTGGGTTCTGCCAAGTCCCGTCGGAAGCCTTCCGGTCGTAACCGGCAGACGTCCCTCTAGAACAGAAGCAGATAAAGCATTAGGCTGATGACATTATATTGTCCGGGCAATTTAAGGATAATCTCAGACGGAGGTTGATGACCTCAGTCATTTTTACGTCATATTCTGCATACCCTAGACAGTGATCAAGATATTGTGTGTATCGGAAGCTTTGTCTTTTACAATAAATTTGAGTTAGTATCATCGTCATTTTATATCTATCATGGATTCGTTACAATTAAGTGCTTTAGTTCATTACCAACACAGCATATCTTCCTCGTCGAGCTGCGTCCTCCGTTGGTGCCGAGTCCAGCTTCTCACGCACTGACCCCAGCGGTAGATCACGACTTTGGGCACAGGTCAGTCAAGCGGTCACCACATCTCGCCGTTCACCGTCTTCGTTCACAGCTCTGTAGTGTCGCCGCACTCTTCAGTACCAACCATTGTCTGACCTGGAGCGGTACCTAGCCCACGGCTTGCTCACACAACCGCGCGGCGCAGTGACTCTGGACCGACTTCCCCCTTCGTCCCGTCTGACGCGTCGGCACGGCCCCATTCACGATGACAGATGGCGACAGGGGACGCCCCTCAACCAGATGTGCGGACGGAACCGACGGCGGCCGGCCGTTGCTACCCCTCCCTCCCCTCCCATCGCTGCGTTGAGGCGACAGTTTCTAAGTCGTAAGCAGTGTGTTGTTGAAATTTTGATGCTTTTGTAATTTCAATGCGATGAGTGATGACAGAAGAAAGAAAACGTAATGTTTATGCCACAGCAGTGCGAGAAGAAACATACATCCTGAAAGTTGTCAAAGTAGTTTTTACCTCAAGGGCACCAACGTTCGTTCAAAGTAATGGCGTATGCGTGTCCTCATCCACACGGCTTAGCAGGCCCCGTAAACCAAGACGGCTTTTCCTCTCATTTAGGTCGAAAATTACATAGATCCAAGGTCTACAATCAAATGGCTGCGAATAACCGTTTTCATGATAGGTAACTGTTACACAATTGGTAGACATTTGGTCCAGATACGGTGCCGATTTGATAAAATTATCAGACATTATTTTCGATTAAAACACTGAAATAAATAGGTATATGATATGAAGATATGAAAAAGAGATTTGGTGCAAATTTGGTCACTGTTTGATGCATTCGCCAGATCACCTGTCATGAAAACGATTATAAAAATCGTTATATCGTTACATTTTTTATTTATTACATCTCCCTTCAATCGATGCATGAGCCTATAGCTCTAGAACTGCTCCTAAGACTGCTTTTAACATTCCCAAGATTCAATTTTTCTTTATTGAATGCTTGTTATATTACATGCTGGAAGTCGATCTCAAGACGTCCTACTGGCGGTTGGGATTCGTCTGGGGATTAAGTGTAAAATCCCGAGCGGGGAATTTCAACAGTTCCCCTACTTTTCCCCAATCAAACTGTTCTTCAAAATGGGTCGGGGATAACGCACCCTTCCCCGTACGGGGAATCTGATCTTTTACCCGACCGAACCCCAACAGTGGGGTTTGATTGGGGAATGCTGCTCTTCCCCGTACGGGGATCGGTGTGATTTCCCCATGTCTTTTGAACATATTACCGATACAGTCGGGGAAGGGATGGGGAACACGGACCGTTCCCCGATCCGATAGGGGAATTGTACGTTCTCCCCAAGCTTTCCCCAACACTGTCCCCGCACTTTCCCCAACCGAATTGCTGGCTGGGACACGTCTCCATAAAAAATAATGGAACAAAGAACAGGCGTCCTTGAAGTTTCTCCTGTCAACTTCTTAGGGAGACTGTGCAAAATTGACTTGACCTTAAGTCATTGGTATGATAGGTATCAAAATTCAAATACGTGCACTTTGAACCTAACGTTACTCTTATTAATCGCTTTAAGTTTCAAAGCGATCGTTCGGTCCGTGTAGCAATGGCGAGCATTCTAACTTTTTCTGGGGTAAGGTCGCTTAACCTACCTGGTAACCCGACTATAACAACTTGTAACGTCTTACATGCAAATGGTTTCATGCAACATTAGCTATTGAAACTATAATAACGCCCTCTACAGGTCCAAGTAAAACATCATTTCACCCTTCGATCGATAAATCACGTTTGACGGCAAAAAAGACTTCGCGATTGAACAACGTTACTTTTTAGAATTTAGTCCGAACCTTTTATCCTTTGAATAGAAGGATTCACCGCTAAGCGCAGAGCCCCCGCTAAGCGAAGCTTGTTGCGGTAACCCTGCCGTTTACCCTCCGATCGCGCAATGCTGGTTCTATGGCAGAATTTGGAGTCCAAAGTTTAAAGTGCGCACAGAGCCGCGCACGGCCGGTCCTCTCACTGACTTCGCTTGGCTACGGCCTGCCACAAACCGCAATCATACCTGTAAGGAGGCTCATTAAACGTCAATCGCCCGCCTCACGCTTCAAACCCGGACTGTTATAACCGGGAACGCGTGCTCTCACCACGCGGAGTCCAACGCTCTACCGACTGAGCTACAGGACCGGCCAATACTAATAGAGCCATTAATGCTTTTTAAAATGGACATGGAATACACAACTTCAAGACAAGAAGCGGGCAGTATGCAAACTGCCCGAGCTTTTGGGCGGTATGCATACTGCCCAAGGGGTCGGGTAGTATGCATACTACCCGGGCGGTATGCATACTGCCCGGGCTGTTGGGTAGTTTGCATACTGCCCGGGTAGTTTGCATACTGCCCAAGTTAGCATATGACCCGTAACATAAATACGGCATATTCACAGGTGGCGGTAAGTGAGATAACCAAATGTGACCAAGCAAGATTAGCAGCTGCCAAGTGTCAAAGCTCGTTTGCTGATTTCAAAATTCAACTTTTTATCACGCATAGCCATAGATATGTTTGGCAAGTTTCCTTTCGCCTTTGAGAAAAGAAATTAGGTGAACATGAAACCTGAGAAAACGGTAGCTTTCCTTTTTAGCGCCGATCAAACGGACGCGACCGGTATAAGTAGATGCTTTCCAATTAAGGAGGTACCGATTACCGATCTATTGATATGACAATGTTTTTCTTTCCGTAGGCGAACAGGTAAAGGCATTGGCCACTGAGAAACTACGCGTTTACGATGGGTCTTTGCGCGACAATGGAGCTGCGCTAAAATTTGTAGTGTACTCACCCCGACTCGTGGCATGGTGTGAGAAAAGAAGGCGAGGGCTGACAGAAGCACACGATCGAGCCCAGTACCGCGCACAGGCAGACGAAGGGGCGGACAGGTGACCCAGGGACCGATCGGGTCACTCAGACACCCCAGGTGATGATCACGAAGGCGAGCTGACGCGATAGTCGAGCGCCGGCAGCAGAGCCGACAGAGGGACTGGTGAACCGGCTCCCGGGCCTCACCTCAACCGATTCCTCCGCTAGACAAACTGATCGGGCCAGAACGAGCCAAGTTGTACACAGCGCGCCCCTGTGTTTTCTTAGTATACTGATAAAAACGAGGAGAAGACCGTTTCCACGGTTTGATCTGATATCAGTTCGGTCCGCCGGTTAGTTTTGGAGCAATGATTCATCAGATGTTGTTTGTGCCAGAGTCGGCGCCGCTCCGGTCGACAGGCGGCGGGGGTACCACGGAGCGTGAGAGAGAGAGAGAGAGAGAGAGAGAGAGAGAGAGAGAGAGAGAGAGAGAGAGAGAGAGAGGGAGAGGGAGAGAGAGAGAGAGAGAGAGAGAGAGGGAGAGGGAGAGAGAGAGAGAGAGAGAGAGAGAGAGAGAGAGAGAGAGAGAGAGAGAGAGAGAGAGAGAGAGAGAGAGAGAGAGAGAGAGAGAGAGAGAGAGAGAGAGAGAGAGAGAGAGAGAGAGAGAGAGAGAGAGGATAGAGAAGCTTTAGGGCGCACGACTGCAATGGCCGTTTCGCGCATACAGTCTCTGATCTGGATGGACGCGCGCTGAGCTAAAATGACTCACAATGCTCCCTGCTAAGTCTATGCTGAATTCAGGGGTGGAGAAATATGCCGAGTTGGGGTTGCACGGGCGCCGCAAATCCGTCGCCGCCCTAGCGGTGACCTTAACTTCCGCCGTCTGGTGCGGCTCCAAAGCTAAGCCGGCGCAGCCAGCGTGGAATTGGGAAGGCTCGTGCTACCCCAACTCAGCACAATTGTCCACCCCTGATGCTGATTTGAGAAGGTTCAAATCTGCCACCCGAGAAGTGGTATAGAGTGCCAGGCCTGTTAGAAAGCGCAGATGGGCATCCTTCGTGTTCCGCCGTACGTGCGTGTGCTGCGGCACAGTCTACGTGCACGGGGTAATGACTACTGCCATCTAGCGGTGGGATGGCGAACCTCGGCCACAACGGGACTAAGACGACGCGACAGCAATGAGTCGCGCCTGAGCCTCGCCCTGCGATTTGCGGGCATGAGACATATTTTCTAAGATCACGTCGCTTGAATGATATAAAAATAATTTGTGTCATAGGTATTGTATATGTTGCGGGCCAAGTGCGAAGGCTAGTCCATTCGCGAATGGCCTAGTCCAAGTGCGATAACGCACTTGGACTAGGCCGTTTGCGAATGGACTAGTCCATGTGCGTTATTGCAGTTGGCCTAGGCCGTTTGCGAATGGACGGGCGTTTATGCTCCCAGTCCAAGTGCGAAGTCAGGCCAAGTGCGAAATATCCAGCAAAGTGACGTCTGATCGGATCAGTGAAACTGATCGGATGATCGACGACTGATCGGATCAGTGAAATAAAGGTTTAGTGCGATTACAGCCTGCTTTCCGTAATTTCCGATACTTTTTTATTCTCAGCCGATAAAACGGAGGCATTCGAACCCTAATCCACTTAAAAACATGGGTTCCGTGAGTACGGGTAGGAATTACAACCCTTATCCTCCCGTAATCCGCTATGTCTCAAAGTGCCCATGGAAACCGGGTCAGTGTCACCCTTACTACATCCTGAAAGTTTCATATCGATTGCTCAACAGCTGTAGCTTTGGTGCAAGTGCAAACTTTTTCGGAGGTGGCGTCACTTAACCTGGCCTGGTGACCTGACCTTAGGTCATCTGGAGTCAGCATTTTCACACAATGTGCGCAGAATATGGGAGAAAAGGTATACAAAATTTGGCTTTGCTGCGCGCCGCCGTTTTCTCGTGATCTGTGAAAAACACAGGGGGGTTGAAAGCAACCCCCCCCCTGCAGTGCGTGTATTGTTAAATGCAATGCAACACAACAGTTTTTCGAACTCTCACCGCACCGCACTCACCACACACAAGCCGCACCGTCCCGGTACACCACACCAGAGCAGAATGAATCGAGCGCCACAAACTCGACCAAGGTCAGGTCGGGTCATCAGCGGGGAGCGAGCACGGTACTAATGGTCTCCGCACACCACGCGACTCTCCGCTGTTCGAAGGTCACGGGGATATTTGACCTCCCCAGATCCAGATCGGTGGCCGAAGCCTGGCCAGCGGCAACACGTTGCTATAATTTCCGCGTTGTGCAGGGTTCAGCGGAAAGTCGCATCCCGAATGGACCCAGGTGTGTGGAACTGGAGACCTTAACCCGCGCACCGACGGGGGGGCGGATATCCGCCCCCCCCCTGAGGTTTTTCGCGGATAGCGGGAAAACCGCGGCGCGTAGCGCCGCGAAATTTGGTATGACTATTCTCTCATCAATTTTACACATGGTGTGCAAGTTTGAACCTCCTAACTTTTAAGGTCAGGTCACCAGGTCACTTTGAATGACCCAACCTCAAGTCACTTTTTTGCAACTTTGTCACCGTGCCAGAGCTACAGTAGATGTCGGAGGCCTTTGAAAGTCGCAGGATGTTATTAGGTCATTAGTAGCTACAATTTGTATATCTCGGAATTTTGATGTCGGTGACCTAAGGTCAGGTCAATTTCGCGACCTCCCCATTATAAGTCAATGGGGGAAAAATCAACTCCCTGTTTTTACCACTAAAACGGGTCGGAATGGCCCCATATACCATACATGACTTCACATACGATCAACCTTCACTACCTTGAGGTCTGTTTTGCTGTTGGGCAGCTGTAAGGTCATGTGACGTCATCAAAGGTCACCAAAGGTTTTTTGCCAATAACTCCTTACAGGAACAAGATACAGCCGCGCGGATGGTCTCATTGTGTTCAGCTCGTCAAGACGCATCGAATGATATACATGATGACCTCGAGGTCACGTGACCTGAGGTCAACCTTTGACCTTGACCTTTCGAGGTCAACATATATATCATTCGATGCGGATTGACGAGAGGATCACGATGATGCCCTTAGTTTGTTCCTATCTTGACTACTTCGAAAGTTATTCGAGAAAAACCCTCTCCATATCTAGCGCCGCCATTTTGACTTTTTCGACCCCTGTGACGTCATCTTTGACCTGACCTGAAAATGACCTTAGTAAAAATTGTAGACCTTGTCCGTGCGTATCCGATGCCGTTTACCGCTTGTCGCTATCTTGCTTCGTTCTCGAGATCTCAGGGGGGGCGGTCATCCCCCAGCCAGCAATTCGCTTGGGCTGAACTGTGGCAAGCGTCGGGCAGCTTAGGCTTAGCTTGGGTTTGCCCACTTTGATCAAAACCAATGTATTTTTTACTAGGGCTGAGCTGGGGCATGCCGCAGCTATGCCCACGTGCGGATAGCAGTAGCTCAGCCCGACATCTGCCCGCGCATCCAAAACAGGCTTAAGGAGCGCGGGCTGATCAAGCTGGCTGTGTCCTTTGGCTAACTGGAGTAAAGCCGGAGCTTAGCCATACTTGTTCGGCTGTTCGCGCATGCGCAGTTCTGCGCCAATCATGTGCAGCGTTTGTGACAGTCTGTGCGCTGTGCGACGAAACGACACACCGGTGTTGGGGTGTGTCGTTTGCGACTGCACCGGTGTTGGTGGTTGATGCTTGGGCGCGTGTGACAGCGCGAAGAAGGGATAGTGCTCACTGCTCTTATCAAGTGGACTGGCATGGAGTTTTACGGTAGGTAAGTGTATTGAATGGTGCGCTTGATCGTATGTAAACGTCACGATTTTGACTGAGTTTGACGCCATCAAACATGAAGCTGAATAACTGTTCAGCCTAACGACTTATTACCCTCGCTCAGAAAAGCTGCATTCCGTGCCTTTATATCTTTGTGAAATACCAGCACTTCTGACCCAGGAAAATGAAATACAAAACACAAATATTTGTCTACTTATCACCGAGCACGCTCATTCTCTGTCCGCATTTAAAATCAAATGAACATTTTATACGGATCAATGAGAAGTGTTTTTACAGTATTAATGCATCAATAAGTCTCTGGGGTCCAACGGAGATACGTCCCCACTCAAATGGAACGCCGGACTTGAAGGGGTCCATCAGCAACAAGCCCTGCTTAGCTGGTGGGCCCTAGAAAGTCTGGCTGTTGACCTGCGCTCGAATTGACCAGAAATGTTTCCCCACTGGATTGCCATTTGCTGATTTTTCTTCTAGGAGTGAAAGACTTAATGCACTCTACTAACCAATTATGTATGCATGTATGAATGACTTCTTTCTTAGATGTAGTAGAACAGTCATCCGCTGCTTTCAGCAATGACTACTTTGGCTCTCTTTATTTATTAACCGGTTCCCGCACTTCTTTTGCTTACTTTGTTTTTTTTTTTTCAATTTTCCTAGCTGGGAGTGCCGCGACTTATCCTTTTTTATTTTTGTCTGGTGTTAACGTAAGGTGCTGTGAGTCGCTGGGCTGAGGGTGGGGGCACTCCTGGTCACCTAATAATGGGTGGCGGAGTAGTTCGAAAAAAAAATTAAAAAAAATAAGTTATTTTTCAAGTAAACATGCAATGTAAATTAAACCAGTTAATCTCTTTTTCAGGTACGTACCATTAGAGCAAATGGTTCCAAAAAATGGAATAGTTATACAAACCAGGACCGGGTGGACGCCGCAGTCGCCCTCGCCAAGTGGTTTAGCGGAAACTGCCTGCTTATAATTAAGTAGGTATACCTACATATACGGAAACTGCGCCGAAAGCTGGCCGACCACCTACTGCAGATGTATGTGTGTGGAGGAGCCAGACGCCTCCAAAGTTCCCATTCACCAGAGTGAAGTTCCTTATAAACGATTGTTCGCTCATTGCTTTATGTCTTATGAGCGATTACTTGCTGTCCTTACTTTATGCTTTCAGTTGAGTGTTTAACCAAGTATTATGAACGGGGAGGGAGGCTAGCGGGCCTTGTGATTGTTTTATAGTTTTGATGGCGTTTTTCATGACTCATGCCATATTACTGCTGCAGTTTGCAGTCCACTGTTTCATGATGTATTTGTGTTTCATTTGACGTGTCTGTAGTCGTTTGAAATATACATTCAATCAAAGTCAACCACTACTGTTGTGTATCGAGTGGTCCGTACTTTCCTTATTCTGCTACTTCCGATTGTA